CAGACCTGGACGGATTAGGGTGTTACAGAACAAACACAAGAAGAATATATGAGAGAAAAAATTATATTTCCACTATTTCAGGACAATATACAAAAAACTCTCTCCTGTTTACAAGGCTAAATTCCAGACACTTATAAACAGATCTTTCCACATCCTATGGCCGGATGTATTTTTTCGAGTAACTAAAACCAGTTACTCTCTACACTCACCCACACTCACCAAGACCCCTTGGATTTTCCCGGTGGTATTCTTGTGTAAAATTCCTCTATTCTCTCTCTACCTTGGTGGTGTGTAAAACCCACACACATTCATTGCACAATACCCCATGTTTTATAGCCATGCTAATCCAAGAAAAGTCAACAAAAGCATACTAAGTGGTCACCAATCTAGCCGAAAGCAAGATCTCAAAAAATCAACATATTTGATTTCCTTTTTTTTTCTTCTTTTTCTTATTTTTCTTTCTTTTGAATATTTAATCAAATTCCCAACAAGTTCTTCCACCGGGTAACAACAAAGAAGCGATACCATTTGATGCAACATTTAATACAATATCTCCTTTGGATCAAAGGGAAGCAGACAATGTTTTCCAAACAAATGTCTTTCCAGTCGACAGAAGACATTACACTTTCATAAGTTGTACACTGATCGCTATTCAACAATGTCAAACAATGTTCGTGCTCAGATGCCATTTCCACGCGATCATATTGAAGTTCATCAAGGATTAGTCGGTTCCGGGTAGTAGTCACGTTGTCTAAATTGGGGAAAGGCATATCATCGAAGTCTCGCAGACTTTTGCCACGCATTAAAAGCAACATTTGAATTTCAATCAAGGCATAATTCTTGAGTTGATCCTCGGTTAAGGTCAAACCTACACATTAAAGAGAAAAGTACATATGAAAAATGGTTTTATGTACAACACATATAAATATAGTTAAATATTACCTTGATGACTTAGAAGACAACGTGGGCCATGTAGTATATCATCGGCCATGAATTCCCAACATTCTTCCCAAACATGTTTTGGTCTAGACATTGATTCGTTTGTGAGGAGTGTTACAAATAAAAACCTCAATTGATTTGCTGAACACCACTGACTTGCTTCTTTGAATCCATCGATGTACTCCCTATCATCATCTAGCAACCCCATAGCATAACATGCATCGCGATAAGTCTTGTGAACAACACCATTGACAGTTTTTAGATCTTCGTATGATGCAGGGCACGGACTATGTTCAATAAAATTCTCATGTAATGAGATTCTCCAGAACCTGGAGGAACATAGATAACACGCCCTATAGCAAAACCTTTTAATCGAGGTTCGTACTCTCTCTTACCAGCCTTCCAAACAAACTTTTGAGGAAACTCGGCATAAGTTAAAGTCTTTGCCAAAGGATATTTTTCATTCGCTTTCATCCATGCAAGAAATTTACTTTCACGTATGCTTTCTCGAGTGTAGACATCACTTGCATCATCATCGTCTTCAAAAAAATCCATTGCTCACCTGGTAAGTGAAAGCTTAAGCGTTCAACACTGGGACATCTATATTGAATCGAGAATCCAAATATTCCCCACGTTGCCTCACACGGAGAAATATATCTGCAATTGTAATACATTTTAATTTCGTCTGGCATTTCTGCACTTGATGAAGCAGACGTTCTTGTGCTTGCATAAAATCCAGCAGTGACGCGATCATGCCCTTTGTTTATGTACTTGAATAAGTATTTTATAGAATGCAATTGATTGCACCATTCTACATTTAAATGGGCCCCATACCTAAGCAAGAGATATCGATTGTGAGGAACTGCAAACCTATTGTCCAACTGAACACCATTCTTCAATATCGTTCGGCCATCATTTCTTCTCCTATATTTTGGATATCCATCCTCGTCAATGATGGTCTCTTCGTTGAATAATTTAGGAAAATATTTAGAACACTTTCCTTCTTTCATGCAAGGAAAATTTGGTCCGAGGGTACCACATGGACCATGAATCATAAAATCACGAACTGCATTGAAGTATTTTGGATCACTCCCTTCATCAGGCAACTCCCTTCATTAGGCGTAAATTTATCTACCTGTCCCAAAAACAATAATATGTGCGCATGGGGTAAACCACGTTTCTGGAATTCCACAGTGTAAACAACTGCAACCCAAAAAATAATTTATGAGTATTTTTAATTTTGGAAAGCAGATTGAAATGACGTAATAAAACATGGCATTTAATTAAGGCTTGTAATCAACACTTACTTGCTCTAATTGTCCCGAATATTTCATTCTTCTTCAAATCTCGAATCAATCCGTTGAGTTTGATGTTAAATATTCTCGAAGCAATGTCAGGACGATCTTCTGGATTTAAATTACGACCACACAGAAAGCGATCTATTTCCGGCCATTTGGATTACACGTGAATGTAAGAAACAAATCTGGATACCCTGTCTACCGGCATATTGCCATGGCATCTTGATAGCTCTGGATCATGTAACGTGCGCCTCCGACAAACGTTGCGGGAACAACAATTCTTTTCCCTTTTGTCATTGTGTCATTGTCACCATTTAGCAAGGAATCTGAGAATCTATTATACATCTCACATCGAAGTTTCTTTTGATGCTTGCTAATATACGTCAATCTTGATGACTCGACCATCGTATATCCATCAACACACAACTCTTGAAATAAACGACGTGAATGTAAAATGAAAGAACTTTCTTCATCCCTTTCATGTAAACGAGATGAAAGAAATTCTCGAATGCTCACACTCCTGCGTCCTCCGACATTCAATAAATTATTCTCAACAAAGGGGGTATATCTTCGCGATAACCATCATCTCCGTATGGAAATAATAAGGGATATTGTAGACTCAAATAAGCCGGATTTAATTCGCTAATCCTTTTCAATGGTCCATGATTTCTTTGAACCAAAATATCCCTCTCACCCAAAGCTTGATCTAAATCGCCAACCACTAAAGCGGCTTCCTCACCAAATGGTAAATTGTACAATCTTGGATTAGAAGTCCTCTTTCCAATTAGCTTCAAAGTGAGATTCAATTCCAAATCTTGGCTTATTTTTTCCACAATCATTCGAAATGACTTTACCAAGACATTGTGAGTATCTAACATTTCCCTAAGGTTAGCAACAATCTCGATATGTAATGAGTGGACATTGTCTTCTTTCCTATATATAAATGACATATGTAGCTATTAAAATTTAATAATGTACGCATATGCGGGGTTTTTAAACGATGAAGTGTTATAACTTAACGTCACTATAATGTCAAGTAAGAAAATGTAAGTACATACCTCACAGAGTGGATTCTATTGAAATCTTCATTTTGCGTGTCGTAAATGTAGAGTTGAGCAAATTTAGGGACTATCCCATCTCGGGGTACCAAAATGCCAATCTGATGAAAATTTTGTCCTCCAAGATTAAAAGTTGTTGGACCTCTACCAGGGGTATAATCTCTAATAATCTTGCCACCCAGAGATGTGAAAGAGAACATGCAGTTATAAGAGCGAATATTAGTCTGGAAGTGCTTACTCTCAACATCTGTGCCAATAAGCAAATCCTTTAGAGGCATTGGTGGTTGCTTGATAGGGGCTAGTTTGATCTTTCCTTGTTTGCAACACAACGAATATTTTGGGTTCTTCTTGGATGATTGACTAATAAGTCGTTCTTCCAGCCAAAAATAAGCTTTACAGTTTTTACAACTATAAAGGCAATCACCAACGTCCCAATACTCGACGTTGTGTAAAAGGTTTCTCCAGGAAACATTTACTTGACGATTAGGGGTATAATCCTCTGCATCGATGAAATCCATTTCCAAATCTCTAACAAAATCTGCATCAGCCTCGATATGATCTTCTGTACGAATATTAGCATCTACACCCCAAGTTTGGGTGATAAATACGTTGATAAGTGGATCAAGATTCATAGAGGAATTATTGTCTTCATTCACTGTTTGTTGTTTAAAGAATAATGGGTAAAGAATTCATTGAGTATATTACATATAGAAATATAAATTAAAAAACATATATAAGAAGGTGACTTTTAATAATAAACTTGAAACGCACCTTCACCATCAACTTTTTTTCTTTTCCTACCAACGTTGTCTTGTGTAATGCAACTCTTTAGTAGAGATGTGTCTCGGATTGTTGAATTTAGCGATGATGAATTGCCATGAGTTAATGGAGTCGATGGTAAACGATCAAATGGTGTTGTGACAACAACTATGAAATTCAATGCTTATAATAATGAATGAAATACAAACCAAGAATTTCAATACATACATATGTATATATATATATATATATATATATATATATATATATATATATATATATATATATATACATATGTGTCTGTGTGTTTGTATAAATACATATATTAATAGGATGGACTTACCATTTGATAAGTTTGACAATGGAGAAGCAGTACACGTATTAGGGTTTGATGAATGTTTTGGTGATTCACATTGCAAGATAGACTTTCTTCTCAAGTTAGTATCACCAAAACTCGTAGAATTCGATTTATGTTTCGAAACATTGGATCTCCCATTTTCTATCCAAAACATTATAGTGACATGTTACAATTTAAATGAATCAATATAGAAATGACGATCTTCAATTTGAAACTTAACAATAAAGAGCCAAGGAGTGACTATATATCATAAGTGTATTTATCTTTATACATTTAAAAGAAAATTCTGACACTCAAAGAATACTAACTTAGATGTTATACTTAAAAAAATTAAAGTATTGTCTTGGTAGGCTTATAAAACGATGTGTCATGCAATTTTGAAATCTCATAACAAAACAAATATTATCACCGTTATCATAAAAAGCATTTGATACAATGAAAACAAAATCCATCCATAGATTGATTCGCATACATGACATTAACAGAATTTTTCAAAATGATACAGATTTAAAGCATAACATCTAACATATGTAATGAAGAACTCAATGACGACAGCATAATATATAAGTTATTTAATGAAGAACATAAAGATCATTGAAATATTTCTTGTTTGGAGTTTTAAGTCGCTTAGATTGTCGGCGTCTAGGTTGTGGCGTTATTGGGGGTGGTAGTCTCACACAATCATCACAAACAAAAAACAATCCCTATCCAACATCCCCAATTTGCAAGCACGAAAGATGACCACGTACGGCAAAGCATTTCCAACACAGTTCCATAAAATCTGAGTCTCGCTTACTCTTACACTTGTAACACGAACGCAACCAACATCCAATTCCTGCTTAAATTGTGAAATAAATACAGTTCTAAAATTTTATTCCGTTCTCTTTCCATATTAATTTATAGAATATAATTTTTGTCATCAATATTTTTTGTTTGTAAATTCGGCCCATACAAAATTAATAACAGCCCAGAAAATAAATTTTTGAAAACTTACTGGCCCAATTAACGCAGCCCAAAATTTAATATGCTCCGTATTTAAGTTAACCTGATCGTCGTATCCAGCGGACCACACATTTCCGCCGCTCGTTTCTGCCTTATCCCCTCTCAAAACTATCGACACAACCGGCGATGGATGCAGAGAGATCGATCGAGAGCGAGAGAGATGGTAAGACAGAGAGAGCGAGAGAGTGTGTGTGAGAGAGCGTGTGTGTTTCAGGCCTTAGGCCAGAAAAAAACCTATTTGATATGTGGAGAGATTGAGAGATAAAGAGAGGGAGAGAGGTTCGAGAGCTCATCAGATTGAGTGATGGTGTATATCTTCCCAAGGAATTCATCCGTGCAATCACTGGTATTCATGCGGACATTTTCCCATATAGATCTGATTTTTGGTATTTCACACTCCCATCTAAATCAGGTAATGAAGTTTTTGTAAATCCGTAAATTTCTAAATATATTGAAATTGTTTTATTTTTTTTAAAGTTCAAATTAATGAAAATGATTAGATCTAATCTAAAATAGTCATGCATCCAGTTTTAACTTTTTTTAGATCGAATTGATTTGATTCCAGTTTCAAATAGTTTTAATAATTCTTCATAAGTTCAAATTAATTGAATAAATTAGATATACTTTTAAAGAACACTACATTTTAATTATTAAAAACACATTTTAATTCAAATATAATTTATAAATGAAAATATGTATTACCTTTGAAATATAGCTGATTACAAAATATTTTCCCCAGTTCGTAAGTCCAATTTAGTTTGATTTGAAATTTCGTAACATCAATTGCTTACTAAGAAGGTAAATTTGTTTTAATATTGGTGTTACTAATGAAATTGATTATATGGGATTATAATCGGTGGAAATGTTAATATTTTAGAACAAATTATAACTTTTTTTAGTGAATAAGATAAAATCTTTTTATAACTTTTGGAATTATAACTTAATAAACCCTTATGTCAAAATTATTTTAAGAAATTACATATCTGACATTATTTATAAGTTGTATATTTGTTTATAAAATTTACAGATCAATTGCTTTTGATCAAACTTAATTCTAATTTATTTTTTTACCTGATATATTGGAGTGTACATCAAAACGTATATAAAGTTATTAAACCTTTTTGGACATGTTCAAGTATTATGTTTGAACATGTAAGGGTTTAATTGCACATTTGAAAGCATTTCTTCCACGGTTGATTATTTCAAGGAAATTTATCAAGGAATCAAAATATTCAGGTATCAAAACTTTATATTTTATGTATTACTTACCTCTATTTTACATATTATGTTTATCCAATGAGTATGAGTCTGATTATGAATGGGTAAAATGATTTTTTTAATTATTCATTCCTGGACCTTAATTGAATTCTATATTGATTTTAATATATTTCTACTCTTGCATATAATTATTTTTACGTCATAAAACACTAAAATCAGTTCACTTCAATATCCAATTTAATGTATTTATGTATCATACCTTTATTTGATTCATCATCCCTCACACTCTTGGAACTGATTGTTGGACTTTTTGTGAGCTTTCTCATTCCAACATATTTCCTGAGTTAACATGTTTAATTTTAATGAATGATTAGAACCATTTTAAGAAACAATGATTTCATACTCTTTGTAACAGAGAATAAAAATAAGTTTTTAATTTTTAACAGTATATTTCAATTTTCGCAATGAATATTCAAAACAGAATATTAAGGTGTTATAGAATATTTATAATTTGGTATAGTAATAATGAAAAAATGAAGAAAGAGTGTTTTCTCACCTTGGAAAAGAAGACTTGAAGTTGATTATCTTTAATAAGAGTGTATTGAATGCGGTAGTATTGAATGTGGTTGGTGGTGTAGTGTATGCAATTTATTGTGGTAAGGAATAGGTTGAGAGGTTGAGAGATAAGTAATTAGAGATGTGTAGTGAGAGATATAAATGAGAACTTAGGGTAGTACCAACTTAGAACCTAAGGCTACATACTTTAGAGGGGTATTGCTTTACAAAACATAATCATACGGTTTATACTCTATTAAATTTATACGGAGTATATATTTAGAGCATTTTAGCTATAATACGTTTATACTGGACAATATAAATTTTTTACTGAAAAAATTTCATGTAATATATTTATAGTTAATTTAAATGGAAATTTTTTCTTGATCTTAATTTGATAAAAATAATTCAATAAATAAAACATGAATAATATATAAAGGATGGGCAGGTTAGGGAGAGGATGGCTGACTCCTCTACTTGGAAGAGAATCTGCAGGATCCATGATCACTATGCATCCCACACTACTGGAGAAAAGGGAAACATGTTTTGGGATAATGGCACTTTCTCTCTCAAAAATGCTTTCGCTGCTAGGGCAGAAGGGAACACGAAGCTTTTCACCTCAAGGTTCATTTGGCATAAATCCCAAATCCCTAAACTTCAAACTTTCATGTGGCGCTGCCTTGATGGAACTCTCTCCTTCCCCACAAACTTAAGACGGTTCCATCTAATGGCCCCAAGTCAATGCCCCTTTTGCCTCTCCAATGAAGATGTACTTGATCATACCCTCCTCAACTGTAATTTCAGCAAAGGGATATGGAACTATTTCAGGGATATGTCTTCTGGTCCTTCGTACTCAGCCAAGCTATCCCTCAAGCAACATCTTATTGTTTGGTGGATCTCAGGTGACTCTAATTCCTTCAAAGGGAATGTGAGACTCATTCTTCCTGGCATCATTACTTGGACCATTTGGAAGGCTCAGAATATACATATTTATGATGATCAGAGGTGCACCAAGGAGGGGGTGATTCAACAATGCTTCAAACAACTTCAAAGCTAGTGTTGGGTTAACAGGAACAAGAAATGGATGATCCATGATGAAGACTTCACCGGATGGGGTCTGGACCAGTATTGGAGAAATGGAAGGAAACTGTTGTGTATTGTTTAGCACGTTTTTCTCTTTCTTCTTGTATTCCTTTTCCTTCCTCCTTTTTTTAATAAAAGTTTTCCTTATATATATATATATATATATATATATATATATATATATATATATATATATATATACCAATTAAATACCAATTAGCGTATTAAAATTTTATTTTAATATTTAATTTAATAACTATATTTTTTAATTGTTTAGGTATAAGCAAGTTATTATTTAAAATCAAATGCCTTTGATGATAATATTTTTCCAATTCATAATTAACTTTTTCAAGTTAAATACTTTTTATAATAATAAATTTGATTTTTAATATATTAAAATTTATCCAAATCTTTTTTATTAAACCCACAGAATATTTTTCAAGTTAAATACTTTTTATAATAATAAATTTGATTTTAAATATTTTAAAATTTATATTCCGTATTTTATATGGTAGTAGGGCATAGGTTATGGATTAGAACGCCTTAAGTAATGATGTAGCCGTCTTACACAGTGAATTGTATTTAATGCTCTGTTTCCCACACTTTCTTAGGCATTAGTAACATATTAAATTGTTCTCAACCCAATGTAATTTCCAGCCGCCGTTTGAGATCCGTGTATGCATTAAATGATTGGTTCCCCATGCCTATTCTCAACCGTTTTAAAAGAGTATTAAATGGTAGGTTACATAATGTCTAATCCAGCCACCGTTTGAGTTGCGTGCATGTCTAACAGAGCACCCATTAAATACTTGAATTTACTAAATGTTTTTTTAATAAATTCAGCAGCCGTTTTAAATACTTCAGCAGCTGTTATGGGTACTTGAATTTATTAAATGCTTTTTTTAATATTTATGTATTAAATTCAAATTATTAATTATATGAATAATAAGATAATCAATATATTATAAGTTTATAATTATTTATAAAAAAATTTCTGATTGAAAGGTTTTTGGAGGTATTAATATGAGTATTGAACGAATAGTGGCGGTAGGCTATTAATGCATTTCACAACTGTTTATCTTAAAAAAAAACCGTTCTAAACTTTACCCTGTAAAAAACATACATGTTTAATTTATTTTAGTGATTATAATTCATTTATATTGAAAGGGTTACACCTCTTTTAGTAGGGTTAAATATAGAATCTGTTTAAAATTATATTTATTTTAGAGATTATAATTCATTTTATACAGAAAGGGTTAGTTTACTTTTAATTGGGTTAAATATAGATAGTGTTTAACATTATATAGAAACTGTTTTAATCACAAATATGTGACAGAATGGTAAAAATTATATTTTTAGAGATTATAATTCCTTTTATACTGAGTGGGTTAGTATATTTTTAATAGGGTTAAAAGTAAAAACTGTTAAAGTTGTTTAGATACTCAAATATTCGATAGAATATTATAATTTAGATTATAAACAATTTTATACATAAAGGATTAGAATGTTTAGAAGTTTAGATGGCCAAATATTCATTCATAAAATTGGTTGTAGGTCTTCGTTTATTCAAAACAGTGCAATAATGGTTTTTCTTCTTATTGATTTTTACAAAGAACAATTACAAATTATAGAAAGTTTATAGCTATTTTCCACTTAAGTTATTTTCAACTCTCTACGTTTGTTTACCATACAAAAAAAATTTCACCCCAAAATATGTTAATTTTCTTTCATTACAGTTTAAATAATTTGAAGAGGCATAATTTTTCATACATAAATAGCCAGTCTTATTCAAAACACAACAAATATCGTAATATCCGATTGAAGCACATATAAGAAAATATCCAGTTCAACATCTGGAAATACCCCATCGTAGCAAAATATTAAAATCAACATAATATAATATCCAGATAAAAAACTGGATATGCCACAAATATTTCAGAAATTGTCTAAACCCCATAGGATAACTGGACAAAGTCCAGGAATGTGCAAAAAAGACAAAAAACGAAATCATGTTCTTCGTCATGGGTTTCAATCAGTACAGTTTTCCAAACATTCATTTTTCCAAAAGCTCCCTTTTCACCTTCTTCTTGCAAGTTGTTGTTGAGAGCTCGTCAAGAAGTTGTCTCTTAACCGGATCATTCCCATCAATAGCATCCATCTTCCTTCGTGAAGTCGCCTCGCCTTGGCTAGAACTTGGGTTGTTTGATCCAATCTACATAGAAAAATAAAATGTTAGTGTGACATTATAGTGTTTATTAGAGACCGAATAATGAGTCTAGAATTGTATACTAAGGTTAAAATTTGATACCACTGTTTCAACTTTTTGACTAAGATCTTGAAGAGAATTCCACAAATCAACATCTTCCTTTGAGTCATCATCAACAATGTCCAAAACATGTTCATACTTCTTGAGAATTCTTGGATCCGAAACAAAAGACCGCACCCCAAAAGACCTGGGACCGTTCCAATGAGGACTATCCCCATCGGACTTGACAACAACATTAAACAAACCTTTTCTCCCAATTAAATGGTTCAGCTCTTCCGAGAACAAATTTGGGTCCATCTTTCTCTGAAACCATTATATATAGAGTTATTCCTTACAAAATGTACTTTTTCCTCTAAATTTCTAAAAACATTTACAATTAAAATTTATGATACCTCAAGCATCATCTCCCTTAGAAGAAGGGCACTCCCACCCAAAATGTCTTTGCACTCTCGGTCCCAAAGCATAAAAGAGGCATGACCGGTGATGTCAAAAACGTGGACATTAACTTTAAACCTATCTGTTAAACCGAAAAAATATTAAATTCCCATGAGCATTATATTACCATAGAATCTACTTCATAAGTTTTAGAATTAGTAAGTACGGAGTACAACTTACTTGTAAACCCCATGCGGCATCCTAAGATCACATCCCGAACATGTAAAATGGGAACCATCAGGTATAACCTTCTTGTTGCATTCGGTGCACCCCAAGTAACACCAATCAGGTGTATTTTCAAGATACGAAATCTCACCAAGAATCCAATATGTCCCGGGCTGTTTATTTCAATATTAAAAATTATTAAAAAAAAGTTAAGTTTATATTTCGACAATCATGCATGTAAGATAGTAAAATGCTTAATATAAATAATTTGTTTTTTAAAATTTAACCTTAGTTGTATCAATTAGAGTCTTCAAAGGGGTGATTTTTAGAGGCTCATTCACTTCTTCATTTCCACCATCCATCATCAAAGTACTCAGGCTACTCACATCATCAACTTGTAGAGGTAGGCTACAAAAAAATTGTCTTTAGTTAGAATTTTAAAATACAAAGAGAAGTCATAAATACTATAGAGGGCAGTTTCGTATGGTACCTAGATCGGAATTGATTAACTTCATCAGAGTTTCCATCGGAAATCATCTTCGTGACATGAAAAGAAGTTGAAACAGTTACCGTGCCTGTCAAATAATTTAAATTAGTCCGAAATATATTAATAAACATCATTAGCAATGAAACTGATATTGATGAATATTGAGGAAAAGATTAATTACCCTGGTATCGCCTAGGCTTACAGAAGCTAAGAAGTAAGATAAAAGGTACCGGAACACCTTGGGTCAAACAATTCAAGAATCTCTCCACATACTCGCCCCATAATGTGCAAGCCAAACGGTTGCCTCTGCATTTATTGGTTTACTTAATATCTTGTTAAGAAATTGCTCTTATGTATTATTTATAAATATGTGCTCATACTCATGATCCTCAAGTGTTATTTCCATTAGTTTCTCTTCTCCACCCCGTTTAAAGTATGTTTGAACTTTTGATCGCCCAACAATTTTTCCTATGACATCTGCAAAGTCCGAAAAATTTAATCAAATTTTTTATTTGACTGCAAATTTGATCAAGGAAAATATCTTCCAAAAAATGTTTTGAATGCATTTTTAAAATGCACAAATGTTTATTTCAAAGCAAAACGTGCGAAAAATATATATTTTTATTTGAATGCACAAATTTCAAAATAAATATAATCCAAAAAATTTATTTTGAATGAAAACATATTTTGCGGAAAGTGGATGTAAAAATTTATTTTGAATGAAAACAAATTTTGTGGAAGAAAATTAATTAGTTTTGTATACCGATGAGAAGTTGGTCGTTCAAACACGGTTGAGATTGAAGATCCGATAATGATTTCAAATCAAACTTGAAATTGGGAAAATCTTTTTCACTTAGAGTCTTGACTTCTGTTTTTGGATAAAAAACCAACAAATATTTATGCGAAGTTGTTTTGCATGTTTGGTAATCATCATTAACAAAAACATTTCGGATTCCAAAAACGCCATCTTCAACAATTTAGTTTTCAAAACGCTTCTTTTCGTGACTCTTAAGTTGAACATAAATCCTTGTCCCCTACATAAAAAAAGAAAATACTTAGAAAATAAGTTTAAAAGAACGAAAATATTGTGTAAGAAAGTATACTAAGAAATTACGCGTTCGTCGTGGAAGATGACTTCCATGGAATCTCCGCCCTTAGACCAAGCTGGAACATGGTAAACGTGGATTGCTCGCAACTTAAGGATCCATCCCGTTTTTTCGTTATCAATTCTGTCAAGCATGTGCCACATTTCGTTTAAAGGCTTTTTGGACATAATGGTATTCTTGTTGGTAAGGAAGTTTTGTGGGTGATGGAGAATTTGGCTCTTAAACTTCGGTTAAATAATATTCTTGGATAGGTGTGAGAATCTCTTGCATTTAATGCCCATGTACCATAAGATTTTTTCAAATCCCAAGAATTAAATGCATCAAGAAATTGGGCTCCTAAAAAGTGCTTTTCAGCCGAAAAAAGTGTGTTCACACTCCCCAATTTTTGTTTTAATAATTAAATATGCCGCCTCAGCCGTAAAAAGTGTGCTCACACTTCCCAATTTTTTTTAATAATTACCTAAGATGCCGCCCTATGCAAAACAGCAATCCTATTTTAAATCTAGTATTGTTAAACAGCCTGGCACATAACATTTGCTGGCCAATATCCGTACCAGGCCCACCACATAACCTAGCCCAATTAGCCCATACCTGGCTCAATAACTTTAGGCGGGAACACTGTTCATTTTGGCCTCCTACCATTGTATATATGGAGATTTTATAATCTTTTAAAATATTTCAAAGTAAAAAAATATATTATTTTTTGTATTAAATAATAATGAATAATTTATATCTAAACAAATATTATCATCTATAAAATGAAGAAATATATACTAATTATAATAAAATATGCAAAGTGTGAAAGAGTATATGAACAATGACATTGAATGTGCTTCGTATTATTTTGAAATAATATGCATATTTAATTAGGTGATAATATTTTATTATCTTTAAAAATAGTCTACAAAATGTGGTATTATTTAATTTTTTATTATCTAAACATAAATATGAATATTATATACCAAGTAATGGGTCGTTGACCCGAGTCAACCCGGTTCGACCGGTTGACTCTTGACCCACTGGCTTGTCAATATGGTCAGGTTTTCAAAACATTGTAGCAGAGCCGATTATTTCCCTCTCGATGCCCTGATTTCGCCTAATCTTCTTCACCAAAAATCCGCTGACTCTTCCCTATAAGGAAAGGAAATCTGCACCCACACCGAAGTATAGTCAAAATCCGCTGATTCTTCCTGGATTCTTCGCTGCAATTCTGAGATCTACAACGTCAAGATCCTCTTATTCTTTGGCGTCAATTCTAGAATCATGTTTGTTTTCGATATTCAGTTCGTAATTTCGTGGATTTCGATTCTCTATTCTCAATTTCCTTGATTGCGATCGGAAGGACGTGAAGGAGATTTCCCTGGCTGAAAAGTCACGGCCATGGCTAGCTTCTGATGGGCTTGGTCGGCAAGTAGGAATGAAATTCATATAATCCAAGCGTAAATTGACATTCATATAATCTAACCTTGAAACTTTCTTTCATTTGTATTAATTAGATCTTTTTTTATTGTTCCATGCTTTATTACTTTTGTGCTAATATGTCTTCATATTTTTGGAACTTTTATGGTATTCTATAGAAAAGTTGTTGTTCATTTGGATAATTTATGTTATTAGTGGTGGAAAATGTTGACACGGAATCATGTGATTTTAGAAATAACGATGTTGAATATTCTTTATATTCAAGCAGTATCAAGGTTATTGGATTTGCTTCTATAGATCTATCTATCTATTTGCCGAAATATATGAATTCATACATAGTATCTTGATGCATTGTATCACAACCTAGGGGTCTTTTTTTCTTTTTATTTGATTTTACTTTTAATAACACATCGTAGGATTTTAAAGATTCGTACTTCGTTTGGAAACAAACTGGATTGGGCTTAGCTTTTGGAGAATGCTGAACGTGCGAGCAAACTTAGCTTCAATTAAGTTGGCTTAGGGAGATGGAGATTGAAGCACTTGACGACACCTATCAGGGAGGTTTTCCTAGGATATTGATGACCAATTGACGCAAGGTACACATCTCACACGTCATAATTTTCCTCTATTTTTAATTTTTTTAATTTAATTTTAGATTTCTAACTTTATTTTGTATTTAAAATTGAATCATAATGATTTTTGTAATTTTATCTTTGTTCCTCCTCTTCTCTCTTCTCTATTCATGCTGTTAGCCAGAATCAAGGGGCAGTGCTAGGGTTCCTTCTCCACTCTCTAGCCCTCTACTTTCCCAGAAAGAGAAGTTATGCAGGTTGGCTTGGAGGTATTCTAATAGTCATCTCTGTTTCTCAAAACAAGGTATGATTCCGAAAATCATATGCATCAATTATTCTAGAATCAAGAGGAATTTATTTTACATCGTTGCCAGCTCTTTAATCTTTGTTCTGTAGATCCCAACTTTTTCCGATCCTGTTCCCAAATTTTTGTTTCGATCGTAATCCCAAAGGGAAACTTGAAAATTAAACTGTCCACTTCTCCACCAAGGTAAAATATCAAAATTTTTTATATTTGTCCACTTCTCCCTCGAATACGTTTTCTCTTCTTCACTGAAGGAAACTTGAAGGTACCATGTCTCTTCATCCGATCTTCTCCCATAATTGAGATCCAAAATACCAAAATCGAGATTCAAAATTGAGTTTCGATATTCAATATGAAATTTTCTTTGAGGCTACAATTGCTGTTAATTAATTGGTATGTTTCCAATTTCATATTTTATTGTCATTGATCACCCATTTTATTGTTCATATTCTTTGTTTTGTTTCTTTTAATTTGTATAAAAATATTGTTTTTTTGTGTGCGATCTAATTGAGCATCTTTTTCACTCAATTCATGCGATTTGCCAATATCATGTTTCAAAATTTCTGCTTCCCAATTTCCATGTTTGAAATTCAAGCTATCATATGAATCGCAAGAAGATATACTGTTGCTGCAATTTGCTAATTATTTCAGGTTTCAAAACCTTTTGCTTCCCAATTTCCATGGATGAAACTTCAGAAGGTTGTGTTAGTAATAATTTTATCATTTGCTCTAATGCAAAAATTGTCATGACACCTGCTCTAATGCAAAAATTAGAGCAAATTAGTATTAGAGCAAATTTCTAACTTTATATTAGAGCAAAATTTCTAACTTTGTACAATTGTTTTAATAATAATATTAATAGTAATAACACTAATAGTAATCATAATAATAATATCTTCTTGCGATTTATATGACACTTGCTCTAATGCAAAAATATGAATCTTAGAATTGCTTTGTTTTATTTTGTATTAGAGCAAATTAGTAATCATAATAATTTTATCTTCTTGCGATTTGTATGACACTTGCTCTAATGCAAAAATATGAATCTTAGAATTGCTTTGTTTTATTTTATATGTCAAAGGCTCTATAAAGAATTGGGGGTTGCTTTATCAAGGGATTAACTCATTTGTTAGAGAGATTATGATATATATGCAAAAAATTACTCATATATATTAAAATTACATGAATTTTATCTCTATCTCCTCCCCTCATGTAAGGTTTTATTACTCTACACACATGGGCTAAAGGATATGAATGCGAGTCTAAGAGGTCCAAGAACACACCGTGCCATGTGAATGCTCATGGACACTCCAAAACGAATATATGTCATTAACATCCAAGCCTCCATATTTAACCCTTCTTATCAGATCCTCCCACATATATAATAGTACCCATAGTTGTTTTTCTTCAAAAATCTCTTCTATAGCTAACAATGAAGCAAATTAACATTCAGATTCCCAAAAAATATCAAATCTTTGAGATAAACATAAACCCCATATATTGAAGAAAGGTAAGAAATAAAGAGAGTGGGGGCACCTGAGGGGTACTTCTTGGATAATGTATAGAGCCAGAAATGAGTATTTTCCTTTGGCCATTGATTAGGAGTGTCTTGGTATTATAGGACTATAGGAGATATAAAAGGAGAAGATGAACCAGGCTCTCATTAATATGAAAATGCGAAGGAAGATGAAGGCGGGGAGTTTTGAAACTGATAAAGTCTCCGTTTTTATTTTAATTTTTTATCCCATTCTCTAGGGAGCAAGTGGGGGAGGAGGTGGTCGGGAGGGGGGAGGATTGGGGTGGGTAGAGGAAATGAACTCAATCGAAGAATTAAAGTATTGGAGTATTGAATAAAAAATGAGTTTTCAACGAAAACAAACATAAGTCATTTTCTCTGCTTAGAGAAAGTATAATAATTTCTTACTACTTATGTAACCTAACATGGAAAAAGTAGAGTTGGAATTTTCTAAAAAAAATTCTTTTAACCAAACAGATCCTAAGAATTAGAATCCAAAACAATATAATCTTAAAAAGTTGAAAATTTTAACAATTGACACAAATTTCATTTTTTATGCAAAACTTCTTATCTCATGAGAAGACCTAAATAAATTATTTTTGGTTGAGATTGAAAAATTGCTTAATTCAAATGGAGTTTTTAAAAAAATTCTCTGGCATGCTATTAATTACAGTCCATCAATAGATTTCAAAATAATTTGTTAGTCGAGAAATTGAACAATGACAAAGAAAAGTTGTCATATGATCTTAGGGGTTATACACCATATAATTTATATACAATAAATGAAGATCAAGAGAAGATATACGGTGAAATAATGGAAGTCGTGGCACCTGAAATAATGGTAAGGTTGTTTTGAATGTTGTATCAAGTAGTATTACATCATTGTTTTTTCCTGATGGAAGGTAATCACACTCAAAATTCGTAATCACTTTGGTGCTAACCGAGTGTTCCATGTGTGCCATTAAACAAAGAAGTCTGAAAGTAAAACTAATCGAACAAATAGATATGATCATTTGGGATGAAGCATGCATGATGAATAAATATGCTTTTGAGACATTGGATCATATCACAATGAAAGATGTAACGGGGTTCTTTAGTAATAGCTTCATAAATGAACCATTTAGATGGAAAACAATGGTACTTAGATGTTATTTTTGTCAAATTCTTCCAGTTTTACCTAGAGCTTCGAGAGAAGAAATTATAGGTGCTACCGTAAATTCTTTAAAATATTGATCGTATTGTAATTGATGTCTATAATATAAAAAATTTATGGTCAAAATATATTCTCTTTAATCAAGAAAAATATTATTACCTCCATCTTAGAGTATTTGTCCAATTTTGATTTTTTTCAATCAACCATTTTCAACCTTTGACCTATAATTAAATATAATATATATTTTATATTAATTAGATAAAATAATATTTTGATTATATCTTATACAATAAATCTAATAAAACTACTTTTGTATCAATATCTAATATCATTTTTATTTAATTTTAGGTCAAAATTTATCAATTTTGACCAAAAAAGTTAAAAGTCAACAAATACTCCGAGACGGAGGAAGTACATTGAAAAATAATTTTTGAATTAACAAAAAATTCGTTCAAATCCGTGCGTGGCACAGGTCAAAATACTAGTTACTATTTAAAAAGAAACGGTTCTTTTGATATTCAACATCAATGTCATATTATCATATCGATGTCTTAAAGTGCTTTGTTGGATTTGAAAGTGGTTCTAGACTTCAAAACACTCCCCGTCCCAGACACTAGCCCAACTCCTGGCCCCCTCTCCATTTTGTCATAGGGAGATGCTAGGGGTACACCAAAGGTGTACACCAAATGTACACCACCCCACTCTTTATCATTTATTTTTTTTTAAATTTTACTTGCTTTTTTGTGTGGTTATGGAGGGGGTGGGGATGTTTGAGGTTCACTTTTGATGTACCCCTAGCATTTTCTTTTGTCATATTGTTATCGTAAATATTGAACTCCCTCCGTTTTAATTTAAATTGCCAATTTCACTTTAAAATGTTTGAATAAAATTATTTTCGATTTCATTAATTGTATATTTGGGATATATTACGGGACTATGTTTAGTATATTTAGTACTGTATTATTATTATTACGTAATTATTATTTATGCTTATTATTATTATAGGTAGTTTTAGTATTTAGGGTTAGTTATTTAATACTATGGAGTATTATTACTGTATTAGGTTATTAATATATTAGTTTATTTAGTTGCCTTTTGTGATAAGGATTCCTTCGATATGCTAGCTATAAATGTATCACCACCATGGTGTTATTATTCAAGCAATAAAGAAATAATCCCTCTTAAACCTAAACTCTTTCTCTTCTCTCTCGTTCTTTTCTTACCCCGGACAACGATTCGCGGTTCTCTCTCCTCCTCACCGATCAACGGCCGTCTTCCCCCTCTCCTTACTCAATCTCTTCCTTTTTCTGAGTTCTATAGCTCGAAGTTGCTCAACCTTCTTTATCCCGATATGATACCGCATCAATTAGTGTTTTCATTGTTGAACTCGCCAAAAAAAAGTTTTCTTTTGCGGTCGGATCAACCTACAGCGGGCAAAGTAAAGCCAAAGTTTCGATCGAGTTGTGCTGCTGCCCCGTGCCAAATTTCTACTGCCGATTAGAATTTCATTCACTTGATCTCCAAAAAAAGTCAAATCCCCCTCCATCCTATTATCTCTTAGAGCTTGAAAACAAAAAAAAGGGGGGGATAGGCATCATAGTTTGTTTTTTGTCGTCGTTCAGCTTTGACCCACTTCAAGTAAGGATAAAAAAATCAGATTTCTCCAGTTTTAATTTGCATTGGTATATTTGGAGGAAATTCATTATGTCAAGCTATTCCTCAGCCCCAAATTTCTTGGATGTTGTTTATGCGCGAGTCACAGATCTTGGACAGTCCTGTATTACTATGATAAATTGCGCGTTGGACAAACTTCTTGATTTGCTCGAGAATGTTCTATATGGAAAAATTGAATTTGATGAATGAGTGTGTGCCATTGATGATTCTGTTAATGAAATTATAACGAAGCTTCGGTCGTTTCATCATATTGAAAGTCAATCAAATTATGATTTTGACTTATATGCGTTCAACGTACAAATTTCTTGCTCAATCCAGGATTTAGTATGTGGCCTCCCAATTATGCCGAGCTTGATTCCTACAGAGTTATACATTTTCAGAACGAACATGATGAACACGATTAGGAAACTCGACGACCCTCTTCTTTCTCCACTAAGTTGTGTCCTTAAGGCTGGAGACACGATTGTCCAAATGATGGACGACACAGCCGCACATATTGGTCCTATTATGGCCGATTCAATTGGATCTCAGGGATGAAGCGATAAACCACATGTCGAAGATGACATGAAAAGTGGGTCCAATGTCATAGATACCAATGAGTCGTTGAGGATGAAGCAGGAAATTGTTGTTCATCGTGTAGGTATTTCCGATGATGTTTTTGTTATTGTGACTGATCTTAGTCCTACTAACGATGGTGATGAGGACGCACATCTCCAAGACCGCGAGAAAGTTTTTGGGGACAATTCGATTGTTTATGGTTGAACAGAAAGCTTTGGAATGCCTGATATTGAGGTTATTGTTATTTGTAAATCGAGAAGTATTGCACCTGGTTGCATTCTTTTCATCCAGTTGGTCGCATGCAATTCTTTAACTATTGTTGGAGATGTACGTCCAAGACATTCTTTTGATACTCCAATGAGGAAGGTGTTTGACCCCAGAGGATGGACGATGAATGATACACTTTTTTCCCGTTCTTTGTTGATTTTCCAACTTGAGGACAAGTTAGTTTTTAAGGCAGGAAGAGTGTTACCGGACTATGTTTAAGATATTTAGTTTTATAAGTATTAGGTAATTATTATTTATGCTTATTATTATTATAGGTAGTTTTAGTATTTATGGTTAATTATTTATTATAATGGAGTATTATTATTGTCTTAGGTTATTAATACCCTAGTTTATTTAGTTGCCTTTTGTGATTAGGATTCCTTCGATATGCTAGCTATAAATGTATCACCACAATGGTGTTATTATTCAAACAATAAAGAAATATTTCCTCTTAACCCTAAACTATTTCTCTTGTCTCTCGTTCTTCTCTTCCCCCGAACAAAGATTCGCAGTTGTCTCTCCTCCTCGTCGATCAACACCCGTCTTCCCGCTCTCCCTTCTCAATCTCTTCCTTTTTCTCAATTATATAGCTCAAAGGTGTTCAACCTTCCTTATCCCGATACGATAGGGTATCAATTTAATTGATACGAATATCGTATCGGATAGGGAAGAACTTCGAGATCTTCGGGCTCCAAGAAAGGAGATGCAAAGAGAGAAGAAAAACTTTGAGTATTTCCAAGCTCCAAGAATAGAGAGACGAAAGAATAAGAGAATTCTTAATTATTTAAGGATTCCTAATAACCATACCAAGTTACAATATATAAGGATAAGACATCACTTCTTCACCTAATGGGCTCGGACCCATACTAAAACCCTAACTATAGAATATTAAAAAAATAAATAAATAAATAACTAATTAAAATATTCCAATTAATTAAAACCCATAATGTGTGCTCTGAAAATTTCTAATTGAAAATGAATTTGACTTGGCACAATTGGAGGTTCACGAACCAAATCCTGTACAGAGGAAAAAATTTCTATGCCGAGCGCATCATAATCAATTTGACCTTCAAAATTATGGATTGACCTGAGCTTCATAATAATTTCATAAATGTGATCAAAAATCAAACACACCCCTTCATCATACTCAATTTCTCCATAAATAACCTCCTCTAGCAAACTAAAAAGTTCGTCCAACGTCGAGTTCATTGTCAAAATAAACACCACCACATAAAAATACTCCCTAATATTCCAAATTACCTGAAAAAACTGGAGCAACAAATGCATCCACAATTGTGTGGGCGAATTTGTGATGCGATTTTGACAAACAAAGTAATGAGGAGAAACAATACTATGGGTGGAAAATTTTTCGGACGGAGTAGTTGAAACAGACCCGTAATCTGGCCGATTGTTTGAATAAGACAGCGGCAGCTATTGATTTTTTTTGTTTTTGTTGTTGCTGCCGTTTGTTTGTAATCTGGATAAAGAATAGAATTACACGGCTCCGGCGATTGAGTTTTTTTTTCACGAATGAAACAAAGGTCTTTTTTTAAATCTATTTTCTTCTATTTCCAAAAGGCAGCAACTTGTTCAAATTAGGATGCAAAGAACGACTATTTCCCAATTCTTGATGTAAATCAGATGGATTGATCCGACCCGGAAGAAAAAAAATGAGTTCTTCTTTCAGGTTTTTTTGGCGAGTTCAATGAATAAAAGCACTTATTGATACAAATATCGTATCAGATAGGGAAGAACATCGAGCTTATTCGGGCTCCAAGAAAGGAGAGGCAAAGGGAGAAGAAAACTTTGAGCGTTTCCAAGCTCTAAGAAAAGAGAGACGAGAGAATAACAGAATTTTTAATTTTTGATAGATTCATAATAACCATACGAAATTACAATTTATAGCGATAAACATCACCTCTTGACCTAATGGGCTCGGACCCATACTAAAACCCAATGTATAGAATATTAATAAATAATAATAAATAACTACTAATAAATAAATAACTAATTAGAATATTCTAATTAACTATATGTACAAGGATAAAATTTAAAAAACTATTCTATTTTCAAGACTACATAAAAACCTTTATAAAATAAGAGGTGATATGAATAAATTAGTTTATCAAATGAGTAGTAAGAATATGCAGAAAAAGTCAAGAAAGTTTGACCCTATAACTATGGGAGGGTTCATGTGACATTAAACCCCAACGTCATACTATGACCCGGCTCTAATTGGGGCGCATATGGTGCTCTATTCGAAAAATTGATGGTTCTTAAGAAAACCCCCCAAGTAGGAGTAAAACATATGTCATATCTTCAAAATAGGAGTTCACACTTGATTGAAATAAAAAAAATTGAGTAATTAAATAAAAAAATTGCCTTTCCTATTCTCAGTGCACTACTCAGTAAAGGAAAAAAAACATGTCTTTCCTTCATGCGTCTTCATCTTCAAGCCTCCATCGCAATTGATTTTTACTGGTAATGTAATTTTCTTGAATTGCAGCAGTGCAGGAGCAGATTCCTCTAATTTTATTTAATTTCTCAATTTCAATAATATTTCTATATTTTCAATTTTAGACCTGATTTTTTCTGTATTGAGTAATCATTGCTCCGTTGTCCCAATCCAGAAAGGAAAAAAAATCATCCCTTCCGCTGATTCCTCTTCTGCCGCAACTCCTTTCAACTAGCTCCGCTCGTCGCTCGCCTAAACTCGCCGGCGGAACCAAAGCATCATATTCGGTGCCGGCCAGTGCCGAGATCGGAATTCCCACTCTGATTTTGGTCTCCACCATCGCTGATTCCCCTTCTGCCGTTGTCAATGCCGTTGTCATAACGGTAGCCGTGAGATGGATGATGGTCACCGGTAGTATTATTGCAGGTCAGGGGTTGAGTTTGACATTATTCATTTGTTTGACAATTTGAATTTGCAACAGTGGCATTATATATGATAATATGTGGCATTGTGTATTACCATGTGTGACATTATATGGTAATCTGTGGCATTATGTATTACCATATGTGACATTATATGTGGCCATGTTTGGAATTATACATTCATTGTTGTTAATGTGGCACTGCGACGGAGACTACGCAAAGTGTGATGGTGGTGTCGGCAATGGTGCCGTGTGATGGTGGTAGAGTGTGATGGTGATGATAGATTTCGTCTATCTCTAGCCTCACTTTGGATGTGCAGATCGGGCAGCTTGTTAGCTCAGTGGCCGCCATTCCCTGCCTCGGCATCCTAAGTTTCGAGTGGGTTTCTGAAGCTCTCTGCACGCGGTTGCAACCGCTAGAAAGGGGATTTCCTTCAACGGCAAAATCAATGCAGCCACTAGCTTCCCTCATGTCATTCTCTCATATGGTCATCCTTACCCTAAAAAAGTAGATTTGCTAAAGGTCACATATCTACGGAAATTGAGAAGGTACGGGTGCAGTTCACCCAAGCGAATCTCATCATGGCGTATCACCGATATGACGTTGCTACTATTAATACTAGCAACGAAAAATGCACGAAAAGCAAGGCTGGCTATAGAGATTGCTAGGTCCTAGCATTTGGAAGGGAGTAACAAAGTTGATGGTGATGAATTGTTGGGGTTGCCGCCCATAAGAATGTTTCTTAAATTGCTTATGGAGCTTGTGATCTAGATGAGGGGATATCTGCGTTCCAGCCCATGGTTAATGGCTAAGGGTGATTAACTCCTATTTTGGGGGTTTTATCTTTCAACTCCTATTTTGAGATTTTATCAATGTTTTACTCCTATTTTGTTCCTTAACTCATGGTTCTTACCCCTCTTAACCCCCCATTAAACCCTCCACCATGGTCCGAATCCGAACCCACACACACACCACCTTCAATTACACCCCACAAAATTTAGTAGCCTTTGGAGTCAATTTTTACTCCAAAGTCAACTAAACTAGTATTTTAACCCGTGCAACGCACGGGGTTAGACGAAATTTTTGACACTTCTGTAAATTAGCTTCAATGCAAAATTTTAAATTGAATTTATAAAAAAAATATAATATGTTTTTTATTACTAAGACATTAAAAACAAAACAAAATAAATTATTTAGTATTAAATATTTGGTAATGAAAATTCTTATATACAAATTCAAAAGTGAACATCTCAAATTCTTATATACAAATTCAAAAGTGAACATCACAATACTCGGTTTGTAAGGCGTTACAAAATCTATATTTTTGAAAGACTTTTGGGTATACAACAATATTGGTGTAGTTGCAAAGATTTTTGTTATCATCTAGAACTAATATTTTTAATTCTATCTTTCTTTTTACTCATGAAACATCACGCAAAGTTGATCATAAGTGAACACCGAATTGATTAAAAATAATCCAACAAATGATAATGTTTAACTTTGTTAAAAGTCATAGCAAAACATAAAACATTGGGAATTGTCTTTTCTAGAACTTTAAGAGTAAATGTGGACCAGATGGTACGAAATTCATTCTAGGTATGTAAACATTTTTCTCGACACGTTTTTTCAAAACCACAATTGCACTGATAACATTATTTCGTAGCTCTTCAATGATTAGTCTTGTCTCATCACACAATTCAGATATTTGGTCAATATTTCTCAATAGCATATATAATTTTGGTATCCCTTTTTTTCAAAACTATTTATGGCTTGAGATTCTCGAATATTTGATTTCATTTTAAACTCAATTGTTATTCAATCCCCATCAACACCTACATCTCTATTTCCTTCGCATGAAGAATCAGAATTCAAGTACTCCTTTTCATCATCGGGAGTGAGAGATATGACAAATTTATTTATCATTTCAACTAGTTTGAGAGTTGGGCTAATAATGTCTAGTCCTTAAAAAAGAATAATTGTTCATATTCTCTCATATGTTTGGATAAGTGAATTCAACGTATTATACTCTTGATAGAATAACTTTTTTCAAAAATAAAAAATTTGGGTGGATCTCAACATCAATAACTCCATCAATCACCTCACATAGCTTTCCATCTTCAAATTTAATTTTCCAATAAAAAAAGCATGTGTGTCCCTATCTGCGCAAGAGAAAGTAGATAAATGTAGTTGCATATTTTTGGTCAACATAAAAACTTTACAAATTGACCATAATATTAAAGATTTGACTGCAATGATCGGTACCATAAATGCATTATAACTTCTATTTCATAAATTAAAAATGAAACTCATATTTTGTTATATTTTCAATTTTTACTCCAATTTTAGCTCTTCTCCCTATCTTCCACGGTCTTCATTCATTATATATTAATAACAGCTGAAATCAGATAATAACTTTTCTTTGACATAGTTCAACTCCTCTACCAAGAAATTATTTCCAAATTTGTTAGTGGGTTGTCATCTTGGAATGACATACCACTAAACTCCTTCAAAGGTCGTCCATTTGAATTAGGTATCTTTCAAATTTAATCAATCACAAATTCTTTACATCTTCTAGGGAAATAAGTTCTGCAAAAAAATACTTAAAATATGACTAAATTTATTCTACTTATATCTCAATTCTAGAGTTTTGTATATGCACCGACCATGCATATCATATTGATATATTAAAAAATAAAATTATCTTTTTATAAAAACACATTGATAATGCAATATTCTTCTTCGGTCAAATAAACCTCGTCAACTAAGTTTTTGTTTCAAAACTATAAATAAATTAAAGGGTAATGTTATTTTGGTTTCTAATTTTTTAAATAATATTTACATTGGTTTATATATTTTAAAATTAATTTATATTATTAGTTTAAGTTAATTATTTATTGGGACAAGTCTATAAAAGGTACGTAAGTTCTTAATGTATCCGTGCTAAAAAGTAATACATTAAAAGCAGAAAAAAATGTTATAAATGAAAAGAATAATGCTTCTTTATTATATATCACATGCCTTATTTATGCAATGATATACACGCTTTTAAATGCACGCACATTTTTAGTAACTTGAATTTGGAAAATATATTTTTTTAACATTTTCTTGCCATTTAGAATATGAAATTTGAGTAGTACTATATGGTCTGTTTCATTTAGAATAAAGATCAATTGGACATATATATATTCTTACCATAGCTAAGTTTAGTTATACTTCGTATAATAGAGAATAATTGTATCACATCCTCAATATAATTATATTCTATAGAAGTTGATTTCAAAATTTTTTGTCAGTCACAAATAAGAATTTAATTTTTCACACAATTTCATAAAATTATATTAAGTGCCAAAATTCTTCCATAATACATTTTTTGTCTGAACTTAATCTTCTAATTTTATTTTATCGGTCAAATTTTATAAATATTAACCTCGATATATGAAGAGAATAATTTTTTTTTTATAAATGTAATGCCAATGATTTTTTTATGAAATGTTGTTTTGAAATAAGAATTATTCATAGGATATGATAAGTATAAATATCGATACAAATCAAGTGAGATGATTAAATATACTCATATAATGAGGAGTCTTTTAGTTATTATTATTTCAAGATAGGTAGCAACTAAAACCTTTTTTGTTTGGCATAAGACCACTAACCTAAAGATAAAATTACTCTGTAAAAATATTTATTCAGAGAAGTATATGCACGCATAAAAAATTATTCTATAAAAATGAATTACTCTAAGTCAATTTCATATGTCAAAATATAATTCTGTATACAAAAATAGGAAGTGTTCTTTACCCTCAATAGGCATATATGGTACACAGACTCATATGTTTGAATAATTCTAAAAACATTATTCATTATCTGTTTCGGTTTGCTTTGTTGTCAAATATCTGAATAATACGTTTAATATAATATTTTTAATATTTTTACTAATATATTCTAAAAAATTCATTGGTCAAACATATTGCTTGAAAAACAAATTGGTGCGTTAAAAGATAATCTAGTTACTAATTCTTAAGATTAACCGCATGAAACTCATTTTGATTTTTTTGTCAAAATAGTGGCACTCTTTCATTACAAATTATGAAAAAAGTATATTGAATTTCAATATAAATTTGATATAGTTCTGATATATCAATTTTTTATAATATTTATTCATTCAAATTATGTTTATTTTGTGGTAAAAAATGTCACTGTTTGACCATAAAAAGTCAAAACAGGAATTTTTTATAGGTCGGGTGTAGTATTAATTTGATCATTTAAAACAATAGTCTAGTCTAGTATTAATTTCAGATTAAAATGTTTTTTATATTTTATTTTGCATTAATATTAAAAATAAATAAAATACAAACTAACTTTATTTAAACATGTCATAAATAATTATGAATTTATTTATGGGAAGAACGTTAAAGTTTAGCCGTTTGCATCAGAGTTCGTGATTAACTGTTTGCATTAGAGATTAAGAAAGTATTTTTTAGAGAAGGGAATCTAATTTATTCATTGATAGTTTAATTATAAATGAAATAAAAAAATATAAAATTGGAAAAATACTTGTATTTTCTAATAAAATCCATTTTATCTATTCCTTAATTACTCTGTATATTTACTCAGTAATGTTGAAAAATTGTATTATATGACTTAATTAAGAATATCATATCATAATATATCATGAGAAATAATATATTTTTGAATTTAAATTGTCTAGTACTAAAATCAAACCATACCAATCAATATATTCGAACTATGAAATTACATATAGTATTTTTTATTTTAACACAATTATAGTCTAGCCATCGCCTGTTTAATAAATAATTTAGTGTTATTTTTAAAATATTTTATATGTTTTAATTTTACATCAATATTGCAATAAATATAAACAAAACTAACTTAGTTATAACAGATCATAAACAAATACCCGCATGACATTGATTTAGAAGTAAAAAATGTATCTTATTTATTAATTGGAAGTTTTTTTGGTGGGGGGGGGGAGATTGAAAATTTTATTATAAGGCAAAATTTTCCGCAGTCCTACGGTCCATGCTCATTTTATACACCTTGGTGTAATAATATCATAAAAGAATTGGATCTTTTTTAAAAAAAATATTTACTTGCTAAACCATGAAAAGTGTTAAAAGGTCCATATTTCACATGTGGACCTTAGGATCACATTTTACCAAAATGTTGATTTTACGTTTTTAATGTTTAAATTTAGGTCGTATATTATGTGTTAAAAAATAAGAAATTTCATAACAGGAGAAGAAAGTATTTATTTAGTAGGTGTCAATATTTAAATAAATATAATGAAACTAACTTCCTTTAAAGGTATCATAAACAAATTCATAATACTTCGTATATTATTTATTTATGAAGAGAATGCTTTTTTTATTATTTAAAAAAATTTCAATTTTGGTCTAGTCATGTATTGATTTTTAATTTTTTTATCTAGTTATTGAAATGTATTATTTGTTTTTAATTTTACATTATTATTAAAATAAATAGAATCAAAACTAATTTCATTTTAAATATTGTAAACTAATACTTGTATGAAAATTATTTAAATGTGAAAAAAGCATCTTATTTATTAATCAAAATTTTTATACTTCCTGCATCCCAAATTATTTACAACGTTTGCTTTTTCAGCAGTCGCGGGAACTTTTGTTTATTTCTACGTTTTCATTGGTTATTTGATAAAATAAAATATTCTTGACACCTCTTATTTCGAATAACTTTTCATATAGTTTTTTGATATGTAAATTTTATTTTTTTATTTCTATACCAGTATGTAAATAAAATGAATTGAAAAAACTTGATATTTTGCCTCGGGAATACAAATGTGGCAAATATTTAGGGACGGAGGGAGTATAAATGAAGCGAGTAAAAAATATTGTATTGTATTGGAAAGAGTATTTTCATAACATGAATGTTTCTCTTTAACAATTAAATTTACTCAAAGGTTTTATTCCAAAACATTGAATTCACATTTTCTATACCTTAAATTAAGTGACACATTAAGTGTCATAAAAATATAAAATTGAATTATAGGTAAAGGAAATATTTTATTTAATAGGTGTCAATATTTAAATAAATACAATCAAACGAATATCATGTAAATATATAATGAATAAATATAAAATTTATTTATGGGTGAGGAGTGTATTTTATTTATTATTCTAAATTTTTTTGTAAATTTTATGATTTAACGAATCCGAGACAAGTATTAAAAATATTTGTACGTAGAGTCCTTAAAAAAATGATATTTTATTAAAAGTAATAATTTACACGGAAAATATATTTAATTCTAATTTTGAATTCATGGGTTCAAAATAAGTAATTACTTCATATCATTTTTGAAAAAGAGTAAAAAATGTGAAATAATGAAAGAGAGTAAATTTGGTTAAATTGCCACCTAATATGCCACATGCCAAGTTCTTAATGTGCCACATGTCAAGCTTTGAATATGCCAAATGTCAACTTCTTAGAGAATGGAGTCTCCTTTTTATATATAAAGGATTGCCACCTAATATGCCACATGCCAAGTTCTTAATGTGCCAAATGTCAAGCTTTGAATATGCCAAATGTCAACTTCTTAGAGAATGGAGTCTCCTTTTTATATATAAAGGATTTTGTGGGGTGCAATTGAAGGTTGTGGGTGGGTGGGTTCGGAGTGGTGCTAGGGTGGGGGGTTTATTTGGGGTTTAGAGGGGTAGGAAGGAACCAAGCTGAAATAGTTATATAGACAACTAAATTTGGGATGCAAATACTAGCATTTTAGCAAAAGAAAAAGGGGATAAATGAGTTTTGGGATTGAGTTAGGGAGGTGGGAACTACTTTCGTGCTCAATGGAACTATAGGTTCCTTAAACGGATCAATATAAAAATATGATATCATTGCTTAAAGTTAAATGAATCAGATTCATTTTTAAGAAAAAACCACTTTCCTAATAAATTCAAAACGAAAGGCTAAGTGTACTTTTCAATTCTCCTTACATTCTGCAGTTTTTTTGTTTTTAGTTCCTATTCCCCTTTTCTCTTGGCTTGGCTCTGTGCTATCCATAGTTAATTCCCCTTCTCTCTTGGCTCAATTTTGTAGTGGTGTTGACTGCACCATAGATTTTAAATCCTCACCTTTGCTCATGATTTTGGTTAGTTGATGTGAGTCTGCTTATGTGCCATTGTTCTTCACTTTTTCTCTAGAGTTGCACTGAGGACAGTGTACGTAAAAGGTAAATTTGTGTGTCGGGGGGGTGCTTATGAATGTTTTAAACCTCCTATCTTGAAGAGACAAAGGTACGCATCCCTTTAATTACTCACTGAATTACTGAGGAAATGGTTGGACATTCAATAATTGCTGAATTTTGATGGTGAACTTTGTCTCCTTGATTCTGATTTTATGTCTTTGGTTTGAGTCAACATATTATAACAGCCCTGATTTTTCTCTCTATCTTAAATGTGTGAGGTATTCCTTTGCACCGTGAAGGATGTACGAAAGGAGCCCCCTAACCTTAAGGATATACCTTCTGTACGTGATTTTCCTGACATGTTCCCTGACGAGCTACCAGGTCTGCCTCCCCCAAGGGAGGTGGAATTCTCCATTGACGTAGTTCGTGGCATGGAACCAATTTTGGCCACTCCCGATCGCATGGCTCCAGCAGAGATGAAGGAGTTAAAGGCGCAATTATAGGAGTTGCTGGATAGAGGATTCATCCGCCCGTGTCTCCCCTTGGGCGCACCGGTTCTTTTTGTACGAAAGAATGATGTGTTTATGAGGCTTTGCATTAACTACCGGAAGCTCAATAAGGTGATTGTTAAGAACCGTTATCCATTACCGCGCATTGATGATTTGTTTGATCTGTTACGTGGAGCGAGGGTGTTCTCGAAGATTGACTTAAGGTCTGGATATCATTAGATTCCAGTAAAGAAGGAAGACATACTAAAGACAACTTTCAAGACGTGTTACAGACATTATGAGTTTACCGTAATGCCTTTTAGACTCACAATGTCCCTTCTATCTTTATGGATCTAATGAATAGTATCTTTCGGCCGTACTTGGATCAATTCGTGGTAGTCTTCATCGATGACATCCTCGTTTACTCGAAGAATGCCGAGGAGCACGCGCGCCACTTGCAGAAGGTATTATCCATCTTGAGGGAGCAGAAACTCTACGCAAAGTTGTCTAAGTGGGAGTTTTGGCTTGAGGAGGTGACCTTCTTAGGTCACATGATCTCCGCTGAGGAAGTAAAGGTTGACCCGAGTAAGATTTCTGTTGTGGTTGACTGGAAGGTTCCTCGTAACGCTAGGGAGGTTAGCAGTTTTCTCGGACTGGCAAGGTACTATCGCCGGTTCGTGAAAGACTTCTTTGCGATTGCTTCCCCACTGAATAAACTCTTACGAAAGGATGTGGAGTTTGTGTGGACGGACGCGTGCCAGAGTAGCTTTGATCGTCTAAAGGAGAGTTTCTAAAGCCCCAGTGTTGTTCCAGTTGGGACCGGGTCGTGAGTACACGATCTACAGTGATGCATCTGGATTGGGTTGTGTACCAATGCAGGAAAGTAACGCGGTCACCTATGCCTCGAGGCAGCTAAAGCCCCATGAGGGTAATTATCTGACACATGACCTGAAGCTAGCGGCAATTGTTTTTCCCTTGAAGATTTGGCGACACTATGTCTACGGGGAAAACATTCTTATATATACTGGTCATAAAGAGTTTGAGGGGCGCCGCCGATCAGAGCAGCAGCGCCGCCGTGACTCGTCGTCGACTCTAGGGGTTTCGTGTCCCTGTCCCGATCATCGTTTTGCAAGGTGATTTGAGGTTTCTATACCTTCTGTTAGCGTTAATTCATATATTAGAACCCCCCATAGTGTATATTTTTGCAATTCATTGTGAATTTGGATCTTTGTGGTTGAATTGATTGAAATTGGGATTTGGGTGTGTTTGTTGTTGGGGGGGAGAAGCAACAAGTAGGATACAACACCTACACGGATCAACTTCAGAACAACCAACCAAACACTCTTAACCCAATTTACCACAATTGATTCACCAAGCACACAAAATCAGTAGCACATCAAATAAACCACAATCAAATATGAAGAATAAAGATGCAAACAACACACGATTTTTATGAGGAAAACCCCTTCGATGTGAAGGATAAAAACCACGAGACTTATAGGGAGTCCGCCCTCTTCTTCTCTTATTATGCAAATTGAGGGTAAAAACACCCAAACTCAGTCTACAAGGATGTCACAGCCCACCAACAACAACATACATAAGAGCCAACACAAAAGAGAAGAAAAAATCAAGATTATCACCCAAAAACGCAGCGATGAACCAGCTGCGATTACAGACAAACTAGAGCTCCGATTGAAAATCTGAACAGTCAGATTGTAGCCTTGTGTGTCCCGAACAAGCGATTAAAATTGCAACAAAATCCAACGGTTGGATCTTTGGTGATTGTCAATTTCGTCGGACTGGTCTGAACAATTCTGCACAGCAAACCCTCTCTCTCTCTGTTTTTCGTAAGTCTCTGCCAACCTACTGCCCAACCCTTTACTTCTCCATTTTGTTAGTCAAAAAAGGAAAAACATCATTGGGCCCTCCACCAAAGAAAAAAATGGAAATCAAAAGTGGGATGGACCCATAACAATCCCCCCTCCAACCCAATTCGGGGAAGATCATATGCAAACCACGTCAAGAAGTCATACCTGCAAGCTTGGAACAAAACTCAAGCTTGCTTCTGGGAACCACCTTTGTCAACATATCAGCATCATTCTTGTTTGTGTGAATCTTGTTCAACTTCATTAATTGCTTTTCAATGATATCACGCAACCAATGATACCTCACATCAATATGTTTTGTGCGAGCATGATACCTGGTGTTTTTGCTCAAGTCTATATCACTTTGACTATCACAAAACACAACATACTCACTTTGCTTCAATCTCAACTCTTGAAGGAAACACTTCAACCAAATCATCTTTTTGCTTGCTTCCACTGCTGCTATATACTCTGCCTCAGTTGTTGACAAAGCTATACACTTCTGTAGCTTGGATTGCCATGAAATGGCTCCCCCTGCAAATGTAAACAAATAACCTGAGGTAGACTTTCTATTATCAAGATCTCCAGCCATGTCAGCATCTGTAAATCCCTCAAGAATAGGCTCACCGCCTCCAAAACACAAACTCAGCTTTGAGGTGCCCTGCAAATATCTCAATATCCATTTTGCAGCTTCCCAACGAATCTTGTTTGGATTAGCCAAGAATCTGCTAACCAATCCAACAGCATGTGCTATATCCGGCCTTGTACACACCATAGCGTACATCAATGAACCAACAACAGAAGAATAAGGAATATGAGACATGTTTTCCTTTTCTTTCTCAAAACTAGGACAAGAACGCATGCTCAACTTGAAATGACCGGCAAGTGGTGTATTAACTGGCTTAGCATTCTTCATATTGAACCTTTCAAGCACCCGTTTAATATACTTCTCTTGTGACAGCCAAAGCTTACCAGCTTTTCTATCACGAACAATTTCCATACCAAGAATTTGCTTCGCATTACCCATATCTTTCATTTCAAAGGACTTTGACATATCCTCTTTTAACCTACGAATCATCTCAACATCTTGTCCCACTATCAACATATCATCAACATACAAACAAAGGATAATGAAGGTATCATCAGAGAACTTTCTAAAATACACACAAGGATCTGCAGTAGTACGCCTGTACCCATTACCACCCATGAAGGAATCAAACTTACGGTTCCACTACCTTGGTGCTTGCTTAAGCCCATAAAGACTCTTTTTCAACTTGCAAACAAAATTCTCTTTTCCTTTGACTTCAAATCCTTTCGGCTACTCCATGTAAATCTCATAATCCAAATCACCATGTAAAAATGTGGTGTTTACATCAAGCTACTCAAGCTCAAGATCCAATGCTAGTCCCAGAATCATGCGAATGGAAGTCATCTTCACCATTGGTGAAAAAATTTCATCATAATCGATGCCTTTCTTTTGATGGCATCCTTTCACCACCAGTCTTGCTTTCCGTCTCACTAGCTTCTGGCCATCTTTCTTGTTCTTGAACAACCACCTGCTCTTCAAGACTTGCTTCCCTTTTGGACGCTTCACCAAGTCATATGTTTCATTTTTCTTCAAAGAATCCATCTCCTCTTGCATAGCCTTCAGCCAATGGTCTTTGTCTGGATGTGACAAGACCTCTTTAAGGCTTTCAGGCTCCCCCTCATCAGTGATTACAATATATTCTGAACTTGGATAAAGTCTTGAAGGTTGTCGAACTCAGTGTGACCTTCTCAATGTTGGCTCTTCCACCTGTGGGCTGTTTTGCTCCCCCTGATTAGAAGACTCTCCACTTTCAATTTCAACAGCTTCATCATCAGGTTGTGGCACAATCTCTGGTTGTACATTTTCAATACGGTCATGTTCATGAGTATTTTCATGACCATCATCAGGAGCATCAACTGTTTGTTGAACATCTAGAACATAACCATGAGACATATCAATAGCACCATGACATAAATCAGTATAATAAGTATTACCAGCACCTGAGAGATGAAAACTCATCTCGTGCTCATAAAATACAACATCTCTACTCATAACTCTTTTCTTTGTTGGATCATAAAGTCTGTAACCAAACTCTTCATCACCATATCCAACAAACACACAAGCATAAGTCTTGAAGTCAAGCTTCAATCTTTGTTCCTTTGGCACATGCATGAAGGCCTTGCATCCAAACACCTTCAAATGGGAATAAGAATGATCTCTCCCAAACCAAACTCTCTCAGGAATATCAAACTCCAAAGGAACTGATGGTGCTCTGTTTATCAAGTACATATCGGTTCCAACTGCTTCTCCCCAATATGACTTACGAAGATTGGACATCCTAAGCATACATCTCACTTTCTCAACAATATTTCTGTTCATCCTCTCGGCAACACCATTATGTTGTGGGGTACCAGGTTCTGTTCTTTCATGCTGAATGCCATATCTTGAGCAATATGCTTTAAACTCATTTGAAGTGTATTCACCTCCATTATCAGTTTGAAGATGCTTCAATTTACAATCTGTCTCCCTTTCCACCATGGCATGAAACTTCTAAAAGATGCCAAACACATCGCTTTTATGCTTCATCATATAAACCCAAGTTCTCCGAGTAGCATCATCAATAAAGGTAACAAAGTATTTGTTACCACCAAGTGATTCCACCTCAATAGGACCACACACATCAGAGTAAACCAACTCTAGCTTTAGTTTCTTTCTCTTGGATCTCCTCGGAAAAGAAACTCTATGATGCTTTCTTGCTAAACAATGATCACAAGGGTCAAGTGAAATGGTAACATCAGCAGGAATAAGAGACTTACCAGCCAACAGGTTTATACCCTTCTCACTAACATGGCCCAATCTGCGATGCCATAAGTTAGGAGAAGTTTTCTCCTCAACAGCATTTAACTCACTATTACACACTTTCAAGTGTGTCTTATACAAGGTGCAATAAAGCTTTCCGCAAGCAATAGTCAAAGAACCCTTAGACAATTTCCATTTACCCTCACCAAAAGTATGCTTGTAACCATCTTGATCAAGTACATTAGCAGAAAATAAATTAAGGCGTAAATCTGGAATGTGGCGAACATCTCTCAAAGGCATATAGCACCCAACACTAGTTTGAACCCGGATATCTCCAATTCCAACAATACTTGCTGAACTCTGGTTTCCCATCTTCACACTACCAAAATCTCCAACTCGGTAGTCAATAAAGTACTCCTTATCAGGAACGCAATGATAAGAAGCCCATGTATCAACAAGCCATTCAGAATCAGAATTATCAACATGACAACAATCACCTGCAGTACAAACCAATGAAACACCATCATCTGAAGTAAAAGTTGTCGCTGTTGTATACTTGTCATCACCCTCTATGTGATGATTATTTTTCTTCTTTTTCTAGTCTCTTTTCATCTTATAGCAAAACTTTTGAATATGACCAGGTTTGCTACAATAGTGACATATAGTGGGCTCTCTCCCATCCTTGGACTTCGACCTGTACTTTGACTTGCCACACCCCTTAGGTCCTCTGCTTTTGCTTCTTCCCCTATTCTCTACCACAAGTGCCTGTGAAATGTCAACACCCATATCCTTTCTTCTAAGCTCTTCATTGAACATGCTCTCTTTAATGACATCCAATGAAAGCACACCATTTGGACTGAGTTGCTAATAGGCATAACCAAGGTCTCTTAACTATCTGGCAAAGAACTCAATAGGAATAAAGCCTGCAACTCATCATCAAAAACAATTTTCATCACAATCAACTTGCTAATGATATCTTGAAAGTCACTAAGATGCTCAGAAATAGATTTTCTCGGCTTCAACTTGAGACTAACAAGCCTTTTAATCAACGAGGCCTTGTTATGAGCAGTCTTTCTCTCATAAAGACCCTCTAATTTTCTCCACAACTCGAGTGGCTCACTCTCTTGGGATACATGATTGAATATTCTAATATCAATCCACTGTCTGATAGTCCCCAAGGTCTTTTGCTTTAGTTTTTCCAATTCTCTATCTGTCACCTTCTCTGGTTGAGTGGGCATGTCATCCTTCTTGGTTTTATCCACATCAATTGAGTCAAACAAATCTTTACAATATAACAAATCTTCCATCATAGGACACCAAATGGAATAATTGGTTGATGTCAATTTAACCATAGAATTTTTTCCTGACTCCATAACTACAGTTTAAACCTTTGGGGGGAGAAGCAACAAGTAGGATACGACACCTACACGGATCAACTTTAAGACAACCAACCAAACACTCTTAACCCAATTTACCACAATTTATTCACTTAGCACACAGAATCAGTAGCACTTCAAATAAACCACAATCAAATATGAAGAATAAAGATGCAAATGAGACACGATCTTTATACGTGGAAAACCCCTTCGATGTGAAGGATAAAAACCATAAGACTTATAGGGAGTCCGCCGTCTTCTTCTCTTATTATGCAAAATAAGGGTAAAAACACTCAAACTTAGTCAACAAGGATGTCACAACCCACGAACAACAACATACATAAGAGCCAACACAGGAGAGAAGAAAAAATCAAGATTATCACCCAAAAACGCAGCGATGAACCAGCTGCAATTACATACAAAACAGAGCTCTGATTGAAAATCTGAACGGTAAGATTGTAGCCCTATGTGTCCCGAACAATCTGTTAAAATTTCAACAAAGTCCAACGGTTGGATCTCCGGCGATCGTCAATTTCGTCGGACTGCTCTGAAATATTCTGCACAGGAAACCCTCTCTCTCTGTTTTTCGTAAGTCTCTGCCAACCTACTGCGCAGCCCTTTACTTCTCCTTTTTGTTAGTCAAAAAGGAAAAAAATTATTGGGCCCTCCACCAAAGAAAAAAATGGAAAGCAAAAGTGGGCTAGACCCACAACATTTCTCTCGTTGGAATCTGGCGTGTCGCCGGCAATGAGAGGGGGCAGCCCCTGTTTCTGTTTTGGGCAGACTCAGTTGGATCCAATTGGGTCAATTTAGATTCAATTGGGGTTGATTTTGGGGTAATTGGGAAGTAATCGGGTTGGGTTGGATCCTATTGGGAATAATTGGGTCTGTTTTGTGTTATCGAAAGATTTGTTGGGCATTTGGGCTTGGTTTGAGCCAGTTGTGCCGGCTGTCCGGGTTGGCAACGGGGGTTTCCGGGCGGTGGGCAGCCGCCTGATAGTTGCCGGGTTGATCTGGCAGTGAATTGTACTGCTCCGGCGGGGGCAGCAGGCCCAGGGATCAATTCCTTTGTCTTGAGTCCGCGTAGGTAAGTTCGGTTAATTGTAATTTTGTTTCTTTGATTAAGCATGACGGTAATCATGGGTCTTCGGCCTTGATAGACCGCTACATGATTTGTTGTGAATTATGAACTGAGATTTAGATTTGAATTAATCTTACTAGTGATTATTGTGTATTGTGAATAATATATGAGAATTAGGCCACCTAGTATAATTAGGCGGACCTGAATTGGACTAACTAATTGGATCACCAATAGGATATGGTTAGGAAATTGGCCATTGTGGGGGGTCGTCGCACCTCTGGTGGTCTTGGGTTTAAAACATACGTACGGTAGTCCGCGATCTGTCCTGGCATCATAGGGACAGGGGCTTCAACCCACCTAAAGTGAGTCTCCTTTGGGTTTCTAAGATGGCCCTTTTATAGCATCGCTTGAGGTGCCATGAGTCCATGACTCAAAGCTAGATGATATGAGATAAAATAATGACCGGATGTTCAAGTGGAAGATGCTAATATAAATATGTTTATTTAAGCTGTTTTTCCCGTGATCACACGATATCGTTTAATTGTATGTTAACGTGGTGCTATTCTTTGAGTTAATGCTAGCGTAGGTATATTTTCAATCAGCGTTCAACTGAGCGTGTAGTCGTTGTTGTTTGACTGCACGCAGGTAGGAACACAGACTTGGATGGGCAACCCGGAGAGCAGTGAAGTGGTAGTGTGGTTTTCATGGCTCCTGTTTTACTTCAATATTTAAACTACATTATTTATTTGATTATATGGACTATTAGACATTATTTTGGTTTTCTTATGCTTCCGCGACATTTGGATTTGTTTTATTACTCCGATGAACTTTTGGTTTATCTTAAACTCTTACGGATGAATTTTATAATTTTTTTGATTGTTTATTTTTTAAAAAAGAATTATGCATGCGAATACCAAATTACTAACAACCTGGTTCGGTAACCCGTTGGTTCGGGTTACACGGGACACCGTTGCCCTCCAACGGATAGGATTTTAAATTTTTGGACATAGAGTCTTTTGATAATAGATTATCATGTTAAGATACTTGACTATCACTCTGTGATTCTGAAAAATTTGTCCTGATCGTGTTAGGAGTTCTTGCAACGGCTACACCATCTTTTGGCCTATAAATTGGCACCCAAAATCTCTCATTTCACACACAATTCTTCAACAATCAATACTCATTCATTGCACTATCATCTTTCATATTTCTTAGCTTTTTGAGAGCCAATCTTAAAGAAATTGTCGTGTTCTTGAGCGTTTTCTAGTTCAATCATATCTACTCCTTGTGAGAGTTTTATTTTTGAGTGTTTAAGTGTTTTTATACACTTGAAGGGAGGTTTGTTCCCTTGTTGTAATTCAGAGAAAGTTTTCGTTCCTTCGTGTGAAGTCTTGGAGTGCGGTATCTCCGAGCAAAATGCGTTAAGGCTCGTGTGGCTCGAGTTCTCAGGTTGTATCGGTTTGTTAAACACCTTTAAGCTTAACGGAGTTAGTGTAAGGCCCTGTTTCGTTCAACTTATTTTTTTCTGCTTTTTTCCTATTCTTATTAAAATCAGATCAGATCATATCAGACCGGATCAAATCTAATCAGATTAGATCAGATCAGATCCAACTATATCAGATCAGATCCAATCAGATTAGATAAGATCAAGCCAAATCCAATTCAATCAGATCAGACCAGATCAGATTATTATTATTATTATTATCATTATTATTAAAAATGAAAAAACAATAAACTTTAGAAACAAGTTAAATAGAAAAGTGAGAAAGAAATCCTTAATTATTAGACGTCGGAAAAATTATTTTTAACATACATTGACAATGTCAATCTAATTCTAATTTTAAAATACATTTTTATTGCTAACTTTAATTTGAGTTTCTAGAATTTTGATCTTTTACTAATTCGAGCTGACCAACTTTGATCATGAGTTAAATAAAATTAACATTTATATTCATATACGGAGTATATTTTGATGTAACAAAATAACTATTATATCTATGGTGTTATATTAATCATAAAAAAAGTTTCGTAGTATAAAGCACATGCTGATATTTTATAAGGATGAGATATTTTAATAGAAATACTATCTCTTCTCTATATTAATTATCTAAATTTAATTACTTTTTAATGTATATATGAATTAAATATTTATTCTAATGTATATATGAATTAATTATTAAAATACTAAATCAATATTCTTATTTCATAAAAAAATAATCATAAAATAAAAAATATTATTACATTATAATATGAATGATAATTCTAATATATGAATTAACTAATTTTATTTCATTAAAAAATAATCATGAAATAAAAAATATTGATTATATTATAATATGAATTATCATTACAATTTTCAAACGTTGTTATTAAGTCAAATCAAATTATTGATTTGAATTTTAAATCAAATCATAATTAATCAAATCAGATTAGACTAAATCGGATCAGATCCAATCAGATTAGATCATATTAGATCCAATCAGATCAGATCCAATCAGACCAGACCAGATCAGATCAGATCAGAACTACAAAAAATCATATCATTTTAGAAAAAATAAGTTGAACGAAACGGAGCCTAACTCGAGAGAGTCTCTCGAGAGGCTAGACGTAGCCATACGTTGTGGTGAACTAGGGTAAAATACGATATGCTCCTTCCTTATGCTCTTTACTTTATCTTCCTTGTTTTAAATTCTTGCGATTTTGTTTTAAACGCTATTCACCCCTTCTAGCGTTGAGCCTTTATTCTAACAGAAAAGACTTGGACTCTTGTGTGAGGGCCATAGATTCTTCCCTATTGAAGTGTAATAACGAAAGAAATAAAGGGCAAAAAAGTAAATTTCAAAATCTTCTCCTCTCCTAGTTAGTTTCTCTCCAGTTCTAGAGAGAAAATTTTGAAAGGAAAAGTCACCCTCACTTTATATCTTCCTCACATTTTCTTTTCTTTCCAAACAAGAGAATTTATATTGAGATTTTTGTTTTCTCTTCCTCCATTTTCTCTCCTTCCAAACAAAGCATAAGTCTTTTAGTGGAAAGATTTTAGAAAAATGCTAGAGGTACACCACCCCTAGCATTGCTCAAGATTTTAATAACTCCAAGTATTTTAGCCATAGTATTTTAGCCATATCATTTGAAGTATATGTCCGAGAGTGAGAAATTCTTTAAAATTCAGGTAGCACTGCTCAAATAAATCCCATAAATGTCAAGTTCGTGTACTTTGACATTTGTCTCCAGAAGGGTGACCGGGATAATTATAGCAGCATCCTTATGTCCAATACTCTCTGGGTTTTTCTTTCTCGTTTTGGTCCCCAAGCCCTGCCGGGTCAAAGCCTCCACTTTTTTTGTTTTAGTCTTCATGTCAGCAATCCCCTCATTTCTCAATCATTGCAATTTGGAACCCTAAAGAGTTTCTCTCAAATTCCACATTTTCCCTTCCTAATTGCCTTTTCAACCTCGTAATACCTCAATTAGCTTGTTGATCGCGGTCGTTCCTCTCTCCTGCTCCATCGAAATCGTGAAATTCATCAATGGCGTAGTGGTTCGTCCTCAAGTTTCAGGCTTCCGGCTCTGACGAATGCTCTAAGTTTCCAGTTTCGTAATTGTTTGGTATTTCTGGATAGGGTTGCAGTTTGGGATGGCTGCCGCAGGCAAAGCTGATGCTGTTGTTGCTGTGCCGGATCATTTCCCGGTCGGGCTGAGGGTGCTGGTGGTTGATGACGATATTGTTTGGCTCAAAATAATCGAGCAGATGCTTCGCAAGTGCAGTTATAATGGTCTGTTCTTGTTTCATAGCAGCTTATTTTATCAGCTAACCTTTTTGCCTAGCAATTTTTGAGGTTTGTATGCAATATATTCTTGTGGCATCCTGATATGATTTCAATTACTTGATCTATAATTGAGCTTGGAGAATTTTGTTTCTTTTTCTGTGCTAATCATCTTGAGAGTAAAGATTGCCTTAGAGGATAAGAAAGGTCACCTTTTGGACTGTTTTTCTCAATCGTTCATGGAATCATATGGTTGGTAAGTATAAAATGGCATTTATAAAATTGATTTGAGAATTTTCATAGATTCATAAATAGAATTCATGATGATCTAATCATTTCCTGCTCATAATAATTTTGTTTCAAGGTTCTGCTCATCCTTTAGTGGCTCTTTTTGCATTTGTGGAAGTGTTATGCTTATCTCTTTTTTTTCAAAATTAATTCTCGATGATATTTATATTCCTATTGTAGACATGCACTGTTACCATTATGCCAATCTATAATTATGAAAGGCCAGAGGCGAGTTGAGAGATTGTCAACAAACCGGAAACCGTGCAACATATTTAAAAACAAAAAAACCTACGTAGTGCAGTTAATTTATTCCTTAATTTCAAGAGCATGTCATAAATGGTAAAATAAGCATGAAAGCTAAACATTAATATTAATTAGTCAATTTAAATTAATCATTAATTCCTCCTTCTCTATTTGAACCTTGTTCTTCTTCTTCTCCTCATCCTCCTCCTCCCCCTCCTTCTCTATTTGAACCTTGTCCTAGCCCTCTGGTATTTTCTTTTGTCATGTAGTACTCTGGTATATATCTTTAATGATTAATTTAAAAAGATATATATTCTTCTTCTCCTCCTCCTCTTCTTCTGCTCCTCTATTTGAACCTTGTCCCAGCTCTAGGTATTTTGATTTGTTATGTAGTACTCCTTCCATTCATTTTAATTGTCCATTTTGTTTTTTTGTGCTGAATGCTTGACTAACAATATCTCTTAAAATATATTAGTAAAAAATTATTTTAAAGATATATAAAAACTATTTTTTGATACAATTATTATGGTGTAGTTTTTATATTTTTATTCGTTATACATTTTTATATATAGTTAGTCAAACGTTTGGCTCGAAAAGTGAACTGGACAATTAAAAAGAATGTGGGAAGTAATTACTAACTTTTCAAAAATACTTCGATAGGGTACATGTGCGTAACTGAAACTTGTAAATACTCTGTACCTAAATGAGTTTTATTGATTACATGCGCCTAGGCATGCTGGTTCCCGTAAAAACCAAGATTTATAGTTAAAAGGTCCAGTCATATTGTATTCAAGTCAGCCCATGGTTTATCTAAGTCAACCCACCTTTTATTGAAGCCTGCCTAACTCAGCCCACTTTTGTAAAACTAAACATGTTAAAAACACTCCCAAGACATGCAATAGAGACGAGCCCCTCTAGCCCCAAATTTAGGCAACCAAAGCAAATGCCTCTCTTGCTGTTGTATCTCACTTTGCCCGGGGAAGTTCAGGCAACACAGGGTCGCCATACCATACTATATTTGGTTATGTTTGTGTGGCTCACGTTCCTTCTTAATTTATACTATTACTTTAAAACATCAATATCAACCACATAATCTCACTCTTCTTAATTCTCTTGCCACTCCCCATGTCCCAAAAATAGTGGGACAGATGGAGTGCAAGGCAAGAAGAAAAGTGAGAAGAGAATTGGGATGGAGGAAGTATCTAAAAACTATATCACAAGTTTTACAGAAGAAGCTTCTTGACTATTTTATTTTATAAAATGGTCAATATAATAAATATTTAAGGAAAGATGATATAGTTTGCCTTGTGAATACTAAAGAAATAGTTTGGGACAAAGGAAGTAATAAGTTGTTGATTGAGTTTTATTTTTGTTTGCTAGTGTATGTAAAACAACAACAAAAGACCAAATGCATTCTCATAGAGTGGGGTCTGAG